CACAGACATTACAATTTGCTTGTTTCTATGTATACGTATGTGGGATGTATGCTGGATGTATGTCAAAAAACAGGTTTTTGACATTTTAAATTGATGACACAATGTAAAGAATTCGCCATGACGACTATACCTACTTGTTTATTAGAATTGATGAAACGTGATAATTTAACGTTTAGTTTGTGTTAAGAACACTTTTCTTTAAGATTTACCAGTTAAAATTATGCAATAATATTGGTTGTTTAAAAAATTTAGGTTAGAATAATTTGTTTGTTATTAAAAACAGTGTGGTTTTGTATATACTTAAATAAAAAAATATCTGCCTGCTGTTATGTTAAGTATTGATTTTTATTTTTTTAAATATAAACAAGAAAATACTTACGAAAATCTTCTAATGCTTTTTTACTAATTTTTGTGACCTAGTCATAAAACGTGCAAAAGCATCCGTAGTTTCCGCAAATAATTGATTGTTTCCCTAATTAATTTAAAAAAGTTTAATTACTTAGTACCTAATTACCATCAAAAACTTTGTATTTTTGATCCATTTTTTATCTAATTTCACTACTTCACTAGACTAAGGAGCCAAATAGATACTACTTAATAGTAAATTAAATTAAATCTTAAATATCGGGAAACGTCTAGAATCTAGACTCAAAAAATACATGGTGCCGCAACGTCCTATTGTATATATTCTATCATGGTGCCGCTACGTTGTATATTTTACTCACGTAGTTAGCGCCCTCTGTAGATTAAAGGTTCAACTAAAATTGTACTTTTCTATATATATAGTCCAAGTGGCACCATCTGGAAATTTTGTAGGGATAATACTATGACACATTAGAGTTTATATATGAAATAAAACGTTCTGGCACGGTGCCAGTGGCACCTTGAAATGGTGCCACAACGATTATATAGGTGCCACTTGGCCCATATATATCCGAATTTGGTGCCTTAACGCCTGTTTGTATATATATATATATATATATATATATATATATCATATGCTAGCAAAAGGGTATACTCGCTAACCATAAATATATTTCCTGAATTAATGTGAACACGTTTAAGTCTCTACCGAAAAATTACTTTTTTTCCTTATCCCCTTATGCCTTTTACCCACAGATATTTTCACAAGAGACGAGAAGAAAAAAAATATTCTTTTTTTTTTGGGCCACCCTAATATATATATATATATATATATATATATATATATATATATATATATATTGGCTAATATCCTTATATGTTTGACATTAAATGTCAAAACATCAGATTTTGCTTATTACTTCCTAAACGGAACGGAAAATTTATTATGTTTGTAATAAATAAAAAAGATAAATGTTAGGTATCGGTAATTTAAGAAAAATTTGTAAAAAGAAATGTTTTAAATAAAAGGATGTAATTCCTTATTGAACACACTGTTCAAAATTTCATGACCATTTTAACACCAAATTAACACCATACATGGTCTATATATAAACCAAAATGGTGTTAAATAAGGTTCGTTGGTCCGGTCTAAATTCAAATACTAAAATGGTGTAAATTTAACTTTCACACACAGTATTAAAATAAATTTTACCTGGTGTAAATTGAACCCCTTTTCAGTGTTAAATATAATGTGTTTTTGGTCAAATTAAATCATACTACACAGAAAAAAGGAAACAGGTTCCTTGAAAACAGGAAAAAGTTCCTTGACGCATTACAAGTATATTACCAGTGGTATTATTCCAGAAAATTGAACCTTCAACTCGCTAGAGATAATGTTTTTAGTGCGTTCCACCAACTTAAAATACTTCAAGTATTGACAGCTGTTTCCACCTATTTAAGGTCTCTTTAGTATCGAACAACTTATAGTGTCACACCAAAGCAAAGGACTACCTGAGCTTATATACTCATGTAAGTCAACATAGGCGAGATTTAAGAACATCAGGTGATACACACCGCCTTTGCCGCGATCGGTACACACATATATGTAACCAGGAATGCACGGCAAATTGTTTTAATCGTTTTAACAGAGTGCTTTAGGTTGAAGTAACTCTTATTTTACAAACAACATATTTAGTAAACTGAACCATACAGCGGGTTGGTTTCACTAAAGTTTTCTGGGTTAACTTAACCAATTTAAAAAAAATAAAATAACTATCTGGTTTAGTACCGTCAAACTAATCTTTGTTTATATTAATCTTCCCACAGTTGATTTAAATAAATACTTATGGGTCAACTAAATTAATATAGTTAAATGAACTAACTATTCCTTTTTTTCTGTGTAGGTGCACTTCTTAAATATTTTTAGATAAACACCGTTTTGGTGTTTGCTGTATAAAATATTTTCAACCATAATTCATGGTGTTATATTAACACCACTTGGTGTTGGATTTTGACACCATTTTAAGAATACTTTTTACACCACAGATATTTACAACAGTGCAGTAGCACAAAATATTGGTCCTATGCCCAATATTTTATCTGGGGGCCAACATTGGATTTATTTAGCCGATGTTAGCCCTATATTGGCATAAAATGATAATTTAATACATCATTGCCAATGTTGGTCCTATATTGGCATATTATTTTACGCCAATATATCATTAACTACAGTCAACGATGCTTTCGGATTTCTAAAAAAACGACACACGTTTGTTTCCAGAATATGTCTATACTAGTGGCGTAGAAACGGTTTTAACTTGGGGGGTGGCGCAACCGACTACCATCCTTATTGTTTAGCACTAAATGGGTGAAAATAATAAAGGCCATTCTTGCCTATTACTGTAAGAATACCAAGGGTAATACTCGATTTCTTCTCTTATTAGCAATAAAATTCGTTATTACGTTAATAAAGCTCAAGCTGAAGCTGAAGCTAAAATAGCACACGATACAAACGATTTTAGCATTTCATCGTAATTAAGAATAACATAGACTTGGCTTATTGGTAGATTTTTTCAAAGAATTTCTAGGCTACATTTTATAACAAGTAACCTCCCTCTCCCCCTTATCATTTGGGTGGGCATTGTCACCCCCCCCCCCCCCCGCTTCTACGCCCCTAAGTACCTACTATACAACTTCGGGCCAATGCAGATTTCCAATATCGCTCGCCTAGCGACAAAGTAACCAAAACGCTCGCTTAGTTAACATGGAAACCATTATAACGAAACATCTAATTATTAATAATTATTATGACCAAACATTTTTATAAAAACACCGGTTGTAGAAAAAATCCTGTGTGTAATTCGAGCGCAAAGTGACATTGCCGCTCTCGCGAGATAGCCAAACTTCTCGCTCAGATCGACAATATATCACTTTGCGCTCTTAATACATAAGAGCATATTTAGAAACTCTTTTCCTTATAAATTTGACTACTGCACGTAGTAGGCATAATTAGTAGTGGGTATGTATAATTTTGCCTTAATTTTTTATTTTTTTGTCCACTTTGCCTTTTTCCTTGCCCATTTTGTCAATTTTTAGGTAATTTTTGATTTTTTTTCAAGTGTCTTAAAGTTGGGTATTAATCAGAAATAACAGAACTTTAAAGCATTTTTGTAGATACGGTGCACCGCGGTGGTATGCAAAAAAATGCAGTTTTTGCCTGCTTTACCAGGTCGTAAAATTAAATTTTTATTTTTCTGGTTTTAATTGATTCTTATTGAAGAAAATTTGTCCGACTAATTGAAACTAAGACAATTCTTTCTTGCTGAACAGGTTTTGGTCGATTTTTCAGATCACATATAAAATTTATAACAAGAAGTCATCTAAGTGTTAAAAACAAAACAAATCTTAATCTACCGCGTAGATTGTTATATATGGAATGTATCGCAAAATTGTTTATATTTCTAAATTAAGTTTGAAGTTTTTTACACACAGTTTACATCGAGTTTACATAAATTACAATTAATTTTTTGAGTTTAAAAGGAATCACTGTAGTTCATATTACACAAAGTTACAGAAAGCATCAAATTACACTGTTCAAAATTTCATGACCATTTTAACACCAAATTAACACCATACATGGTCTATATCGATACAAACCAAAATGGTGTTAAATATGGTTCGTTGGTCCAGTGTAAATTCAAATACTAAAATAGTGTAAATTTAACTTTCACACAGTATTAAAATAAATTTTACCTGGTGTAAATTGAACTTCTTTTTAATGTTAAATATTTGGTCAAATTAAATCATACTACACAGAAAAAAAGGAAAAAAAAGGAAACAGGAATTTCCTTGACGCATTACATTAGTATATTAAAAGTGGTATTATTCCAGAAAATTGAATCTTCAACTGGTGCATTCCACCAACTTAAAATACTTTAAGTATTGACAACTGTTTCCACCTATTTAACTTGTAGTGTCACACCAAAGTAAAGGACTACCTGAGCTTATATACTCTTCATGTAAGTCAACAGAGGCGTGATTTAAGAACATCACGTGATCCACACCGCCTTTGCCGCGATCGATACACACTATGCGACCAGGAATGCACGGCAAATTGTTTTAATTTTTTTAACACAGTGCTTTAGGTTGAAGTAACTCTTATTTTACAAACAACATATTTAGTAAACTGAACCATACAGCGGGTTGGTATTACTAAAGTTTTCTGGGTTAATTTAACCAATTTAAAAAAAATAAAATAACTATCTGGTTTAGTACCGTCAAACTAATCTTTGTTTATATTAACCTTCCCACAGTTGATAAATAAATACTTATGGGTCAACTAAATTAATATAGTTAAATAACTATTCCTTTTTTTTGTGTAGGTGCACGTCTCAAATATTTTATTAGATGAACACCGTTTTGGTGTTTGCTGTATATAACATTTTCAACCATAATTCATAATGTTTATATTAACACCACTTGGTGTTGGATTTTGACACCATTTTAAGATTACTCTTTACACCACAGATATTTTAAACAGTGTACCTATATAAATATAATACTGCTAAAGATGTTTAAAACATAAACAAGTTACAAATAGTGCTCAAGACATAATTGTGCATTAATAAAGCACTTACTAGCAATAGATGTTTGTAATGAACAACCTAATTCCGTTAAGGCTCTACTGAGGTCTTGGTGATACTTTTCAAACACGGCATCGTCTGCAAAATTTAAAACCCAAAAATAAATAACTTTTTACTTTCTCTAGCAAAGAAAGTACAAAAAATGCAAAAATTTTATAAAAACAAAACACGGTAATATCCTAACATCAATTTGATTAGAATAATTAAGGTTGAGAAATTGCTACCATCGCTTTTAACTAATATTATAAATCCTAATAATCATAAATTTCTCCTACAATTATCGCGGAAAACCTAATTATAGGTTTAAAGTTTATACAAGCAATTTTTAATAAAATAAACCACGATCAATACTAATTGCCACGTTGATATAAAGGAACTTAGAAAAGTACAAGATTTTAGTTTCTCTATAATTTTATGAATATTTTATAATTTTACTGATTTATTTATCGATATACAGGGTTAAAACTTAATAAATATTTAAAGTAAGAAGAAAAGCAAAAACTTTTTTTTTGATCTAGTTAGATTGGTCTACATGATTTGTAAGGTTTAAGTTAAAAGATGTAAAAAGTACTTTTAAATAAAAGTATGTATGTATGTATGTAGTTTTGTTTGGCCGAGACTCTGCTCATTTGCCACAGATCGTTTTAAATAAAAGTAATTTAGGTATATTATAAGGCCATGAAGTGAGTCTTTTTGGGCTAAGCTCAAAGTTTACAAGGGCATAGACCTTCTAGGCCATATGGCATGCAGCATTTTTTCTTCGTTGTTTTTCAGAATTTAAAGTCAATTTTATTTGGTAAACATGAAACAAACGATTATTAAAAGTAGAAAGTGAGGTTAGAACAGTCTTATATTGAATTTTATAATTGCTCCAAATCACGGTCCATAATGCGTTACTATTTATTTCTGATAACCGCTGTTTTTTTACTGCTCCGTTTAATTTATTTTTAAGGTAGTGTAATTAAATGTGTCTTTGAATGCAAAAAATCTTGTTATTATTAAATTTGCTTATTAAAAACAAAATAAAAAAATATTTTTCTGTGAAATGTCAGATTAAAAACTTTACACGGTATAATGTTAAAACAAAAAATACTAATAAATGGTGTATGTATGTATATAGAAAATATATATTTTCTATATACATACGACATATGTATATATGTCGTTAATGCCGGCAAAAATAATTAATAAGGATTCGATAGCAAGGGAAGAAAATGTTTAAAAATGTATTGATTAAAAATTTTTTTTCAAGAAATCTATATATTAAACTTTATTGTCGTCAGCACTCGACACTAACGTGTAATTTTGGCATACGCATATAAAAATCAACAGAAAACAAATAAAAACTTTTAAGAATCTAGTAATTAGTTGTTGGGCGTCAGTGATTGGCCAATTTTATTATTCACTGTGATTTGGACCAATAGAATAAATAGGGAGAAACTCTCGTCCCTCTTATGTCAGAAGGTTGCAACCTCACTTTTTACGATTCATGTATCGTTAAACAATTAAAATTGGCTTTAAATTATTTGCATTACAACTTGAATATATTTTATCTGCATGCTAAACTTTGATATCAGCACAAAAAAATAACTGCTTGGCCTAATGACGTAAATAATTATTATGTACAGTATAATATAGTACAATTCAGTAAGTTGACACATTTTAAAAGTCTATACGCTTGCAAAACCATGTCAATGATTTTTTTAATAGTGTTAAAAATCCTGCAGTATAAATGTATACCAAATTTTGATAATGAAAATACTGCATCTTGGAAAAAAGCACACATAACTTTATTAAAACTTTTTAGTTAAAATATGAATATATCATGGTTCTGTAGATAGTTAGAAGTTACTTTTGGATGTTTTTATCAATTCTACATGGCAATAGTATTAAAATTTAATACCCCCTTATAAATTTCAATTAATTAACAATGCCAAAATAAAAAGGAGCAACTTAAAATAAAAAATAGAACGCAAAAAATTGTCTACAAAAAAAATTGAAAAAATTTATTAATTAATTTATATTGGTAAAAATTAACCTTTGCAAACGTTCTTGGTTTATATATTAAAACTTTTTTATGACTACTATAAATTTTATTAAAATAAATACTTTAATCCTTCTTAAGTGGTTGTCCTTTTTATTATATTTTTGATAAAAACTATAATTTAAAAAATACAAGTTTTTAATCAAGTTTATAATGTTCATTATAATAACAATATAAATATTAATTTCGTAAAAATATTGCTATACCTTGTATATCCGTGAAACAGTGATCAGTGCTAATTTACAAAGTTAATTTCCATTTTCTACATAATAATAATTCTTTTATGTCCTGTTGATGACCCAACGCGATCTTTGGCTTACTTACATTTTTTGTCTTTGTAGAGTCGCGATACGCATGCATCGTCCACATTATCTCCCAACATTGCGTTGACCAGTCTCTCTATAAAATCGCGGATCTCTGCCTTTTCCTTATTGCACATCTCTTCCAGGTCAGACTCGAACTGTTTGAGAGAGTCTCTGTCCATTGCTGACAAATTAACTGAAACTGCAAGAACAAAAAATTAGTGAACCTAACCAAACCAAACTTTTTAATTAAAACAAACCTGTGGAAAACAACTTTGTTATTTATTAGAGTGTTAAAAAAGACGTCAATATGAAAATTTCTAGAATATGCCGAAATAAAAATTAGGTTGAAATCCAATTTATTAATTTTTATTTTAGGTTCCTTATCAAATTTAAATATCGAAATAAAAAATTAAATAACAGGAAAATATTTATTTTATTATTTTTTCATATCCAATCTATACAGTCTAGTTTTCCTTTGCTAATATTTTGTAAATTTTGTGGTCGCATATCCGCTTTTATCGAAATTAATTTTGTAATAGTAAAAATATAAATCTTTAAGGTAAAAAAAAATTATATACAAAAGGAAAAAAAAATTGGTCAACATCTTGCACATAAAAACAATATTTTTTAAGAAGTAAAAATGTTTATAAATTTTGTTTCTAAATTTAATTCTCTTCAAAAAAAGGTCCAATTAAATATTGTTGTTTTTGAGATAATTTTAATAATCACGATTTTATCTTAAAATTTCCATTTTTAAAGCTGGGCCATTCCACGCTTAACGGATAGGACAGCTCTGTAACTTCAATTATCTCTGAAACTATAATATTTATGCGAAAATAAAATAGGATGTTTTTGTAGACAATTAAATTTACTAACGGACTTGATTTAAAAAAATCAAAAAGTGAATATTTTTTTTACTTTCAATTTTAGGTGCAATTGGCGATCCTAAGATATAAACCAACATTTTTTTCCCCTTAAAGATAAATATTTTTGCCATATTTAAATTAATTTAAAAAAAAGAGTGGATATTCGATCCCATCTAGTATACATATAGGTATAAATAATTTTATATAATTTTAACTAGATTTAAGTATTTTTATTTTATTTTTATTATTTTTAATGTGCTTTCAACAGGCACCAGGCCCAATCACAGAAATACACAATGACAAACACAAATAAACAACCATACCCCTGGTGGGGGTATTAATGAAATAATAAAGTACGAAAGAAATTTGACTGAATATACAATTGTATACAATTGAATGGTAAAGAGTATCAAAATTAAATAAAAATGAAAAATAATTATTGTCTTGATTTTTGTATACATATATTTTATCTACTTCTACATTAACAAGCTGTGACTTTATGTTTTAGACACGAGCTAAAGCAATAGTGACTTTTGGCCCAAAAGTTTTGGGCATTTTAATAGGGGGCTAAAGTTAACTTTACTTTAAATGTCAAAAAAATGAGGTTTAATTCGTCACATGTCAAAAATTTAACAATTAAACAAAATGCTTACGTTATTTCTTGTTTTTTTCTGTTGGAATATTGTGCAACAACAATAGTCAACGTTTATAAAATAGGAAATAAACCACATGGCAAGCGAGTGAAACATTTACGGCACTTTAAAATATACTACGAGGCAGAGTCAGTCCGAAACCACCCTCAGCGAAATATAGTCGTCACAGATGTTATTTGTATTTATCTCTAAAAGTTATTTGTTACCTACTTATCAATAAAGTGTACCTACTTAGTTATCTCGTTCTTAAATACAATTGTGCTTTTTATTGACCATTCACATAATTACGCAAACACCTATTGAAGTCATTAAATAAAATCCAACAGGTTATGGGCCCAGTTAATCTATGTGAGTGAGTTCGGAGTTTAAAGACAATACAGGAATATAGTTTTTACAAATAGTGTGCTGCAGCAAAAGTGAGAGAACAATCAAGGTTCGAAGATGTCGGGCGGTTCGCGTTTTTTGTACGGTATCGCGAAATTGAACAGTTCCAATTATCAAATTTGGAAGTATAAGGTCGAATTTTTGCTGATCAGTGAGGAAATATGGGACGTGATCGCTGAGCCAAGGCCAGGTGTTCCAGACGAAGCCTGGATTAGAAAGGATGATCAAGCTAGAGCAGCAATCGGACTCCTTGTCGAAGATAGCCAGTTAATCCACATTAGACAAGCAAAAAATGCTCTCGACGCTTGGAATTCATTAAGGGACATCCACCAGAAGGGATCGCTATCCACCAAAGTTTTCTTGTTAAAGCGGATATGCAGATTAACTCTAGAAGAAGGCGGTAATATGGAACTCCATATAAACCTAATGATGGAGTTGGTGGATAAATTATCGGCCATGGGGGAGGTGCTAAATAATCAGTTAATTGTTGCTATGCTATTAAGTAGTCTGCCGGATTCTTATGGCACGCTAATTACTGCACTGGAAAGCAGGGATGAGAAGGAGTTAACAATGGAACTAGTGAAAGCAAAATTATTAGACGAATATGGTCGACGTAAAGGTGTATCAAAAACAAGGGATGAAGAAAGTGACACGGCAATGAGGGCGTCGGCTTCTCATCATCATAAAGGGCAACCCGGGCATTCAGGAAATTCGGCGAACTTGGTAAAGAAAAAGCAGTGCTATTTTTGTAAAGAACCTGGTCATTACAAAAAGTTTTGTCGAAAATATCAAGCTTGGAAGTGCAATAAAGAAAGGGCAAATGCAGTTACAGATGGTTATTCTGAAAATCAAGTGGATGAGACCTGTTTTATGACACAAACAAATGTGGAGACAGATTTATGTCATGAAGTGAGTGTTTGTTTTGGCCTGCAAATAAGACAACAAAAGGACGTTTGGGTAATCGACTCGGGGGCGACAAGTCATATGGTTAATAACAAGGATTTCTTTAAGGAATTTCATCGAAACACGAACGGAAATGTACGGCTAGCAAATGGTCAAAAGGCTGAAATTAAAGGGACCGGGTCGGGTGTTGTAAAGTTTGTCAATGGGGCCAATAAGGACATTAATATAAAGATTGACAACGTTTTGTTTGTGCCAAACTTGGAAGTTAATTTACTTTCGGTGCGGAAATTAACAGCTAAAGGTTTTAAAGTGCTGTTTAAGGACAACGTGTGCGATATTGTGGAAGGACAAAAAGTGCGGGCAACGGCCAAACAGGTAGCCGGACTTTATGAGCTTCAAACGGTACCGGTGCAAGCAGACAATAAAGCGTGTATAGCAATAAAGGGCGGTCATAGTACACAGTGTCAGCACATGTGGCATAGACGTTTCGGGCATCGCGAAGTGGCAGCAATTAAAGACTTACAAAACAAAGGACTAGCGGCCGGTATAAAAGTTACGGATTGCGGAATACGGGAAACTTGTGAAGTTTGCATTAAAGGAAAAATGGCAAGAAAACCATTTCCAAAAAGGTCGGAGAACAGGTCAAACAAAATTTTAGACCTTGTTCATACGGATGTTTGCGGACCCATGCAAACGGTGACACCTGGAGGAAAGCGGTACGCCTTGACCATAATAGATGACTACAGCCGGTACTGTAGAGTTTTTTTAATGGCTCAAAAATCCGAAGTGGCAGAACTTATTAAGCAATTTGTCGAAAAAATGAAAACCAGTTTGGGAAAAAAGCCAAAAATAATTCGGTCGGATAGAGGAAAGGAATATGTCAACAAAGAACTGAAAAATTACCTGAAAATGGAGGGCATTCAGATTCAGTACACGGTTGCTTATACACCTGAGCAAAACGGTGTGGCCGAAAGGAAAAATCGCTCACTCTTGGAAAGTGCAAGGTGCATGTTGTACGACGCGGACATGGACAAGAAATATTGGGGTGAAGCGATAAATACCGCAAATTATTTGCAAAATAGGCTACCATCAAAATGTATAGAAAAAACACCGTTCGAATTATGGCATTTAAAGGCACCGAATGTTGACCACCTGCGAGTTTTTGGCTGTAGAGCATACGCTCATGTTCCTAAAGAATTGCGAAGAAAATTGGATGAAAAGGCAGTGGAATTTTTATTTGTGGGATACTCGGAAGAATCAAAGGGTTATCGTTTATTGGATAAAAACACCAATAAAATAAAGATAAGCCGGGATGTCGTTTTTCTCAATGACCAAGAAGTAAAACAGCCACTTAAAGAGAATAAAACGATTAAAAGTAAAGATCCAAGTAACAAAGTTCAAATTACGTTGAATTGGAGACGATCTAAGGAAAATAAAACAACGGCGTGTCTTCAAAATTTGGAAAATGCAGTTCAAGAAAATCAGGAAAATTTTAAAGAACCTGTGGAAGTCCTGCAGGAAATAGAAGACAAGAATGAAGACAAAGAAGAACCAAGAAGATCCGACAGGTCGAATAAAGGTGTGCCACCCCACAGGTATACAGGAGACGAAAAGCTGTATACGATGGTTAGTTTTAACGAAGATCCAAAGAACAGGAAGGAGGCACTTTCTGGACCAAATTCAAAGGAATGGGGGGCGGCAATGGACGAAGAAATTAATTCGTTATTGTCAAATAATACCTGGGAGCTTGTACAGAAGCCGGAAGGTCGGGACATAATCAGTTGTAAATGGGTGTTCAAAACGAAGCGGGACGCAGCAGGGAGCATAAATAAGTACAAGGCAAGGTTAGTGGCACGAGGGTTTTCCCAGAAATATGGAGTTGATTACGACGAAATATTTGCCCCAGTTGTAAGGCACACGACATTTCGGCTGCTACTGACCATAGCAGGTAAAGAGGGACTCTTTATTGCACATTATGATGCAAAAACAGCTTTTTTGAACGGGGTGCTTAAAGAAACAATTTTTATGCGACAACCTGAAGGTTATTTAGAGCCTGACAAAGAAGAAATGGTGTGTAAATTAAACAAAAGCATTTACGGGTTAAAACAGGCAGCAAAAGCCTGGAATGATGAATTGAACATTGTTTTAAAAGGCCACCAATTCAACCAAAGTCAAGCAGACCCATGCTTGTATATTAAAACCGAGGAAGGGAAAGTCATTTACATTGTCGTTTACGTAGATGATTTTTTAATTGCAAGTAGTGATAAAAGGCTAGTAAAGCAGACAGCAGAATTTTTTAAAAATCATTTTGCTCTGATGGATTTAGGGGAGCTAAAGCACTATCTTGGGATACAAGTGAACAAGGATGATGATGGTTTTTATCGGATTAATCAAACGCACTATATATGTAAATTATTAGTTCGTTTCGGGTTACAAGACGCAAAAACCTCGAATTATCCATTGGACCCACAGTACAATAAATCCAGGATTAAGGAACAGGAAGCGATGAAGGATGGCGAAAAATATCAGCAATTAATTGGAGCATTGCTTTACATATCGGTAAATACGAGGCCAGACATTACGGCAAGTGTTTGTATTTTAAGCCAATACAATAAATCACCGACCGACCCCGACTGGGTGGAAGCAAAGAGGGTCGCTCGGTACCTGAAAGGCACTAAAGAACTGACTTTAAAACTGGGTAATAAGGATGACCCAAATAAACACCTGTATGGTTACAGTGACGCAGATTGGGCACAAAGCAATGAAAACAGAAAGTCAAATAGTGGGCATTTGTTTAAATTTAATGGAAGTCCAATAAGTTGGGGATGCAAAAAACAAAATTGTATCGCCCTGTCAACAATGGAAGCTGAATACATTGCGCTGGCAGAAGCTTGTCAAGAAGGGGTTTGGATCCGCCGACTATTGGGAGACTTCGGTCAAAATCAGGATCAAGCTACCATTATGTACGAAGATAACCAAAGTTGTTTGAAATACATAAGTAATTCAAAATTCAGCAACAGAACGAAACACATTGATACAAAATATCATTTTTTAAAGGACCTAAAGAAACAGAATTTAATGTGTTTTGAATATTGTGCTACAGAATACATGTTAGCCGACATGTTTACAAAACCGCTAAGCACTCTGAAGTTGGAAGCGATGCGAAAGGCGTGCAATCTTTTTTAATCAAAAAATAGGATTATTATTGTTGAGGAAGGGTGTTGGAATATTGTGCAACAACAATAGTCAACGTTTATAAAATAGGAAATAAACCACATGGCAAGCGAGTGAAACATTTACGGCATTCGTACCCTTGACTTTAAAATATACTACGAGGCAGAGTCAGTCCGAAACCACCCTCAGCGAAATATAGTCGTCACAGATGTTATTTGTATTTATCTCTAAAAGTTATTTGTTACCTACTTATCAATAAAGTGTACCTACTTAGTTATCTCGTTCTTAAATACAATTGTGCTTTTTATTGACCATTCACATAATTACGCAAACACCTATTGAAGTCATTAAATAAAATCCAACATTTTCCATTTTATTAAAAAGTTTTGTTTTTTCAGATTTTGTAATACTTTTAAAAAATTACCTCTAGAGGGTTGTATAATTTTGAGCACGCTCTCGTACCAAGATAGGGGTGTTTTTGAGCAAACATTGCACACCCATCTTTCTGTGAGGTTCTTCGACGAGCACCTGTTCTTGCAAACGCGCGTGTTGCATTTTTCACAAGTGACCACACGATCTCCCTCCAAAATTCCTTCTATAGAGCGTAAATACGTGCCGCAGTTTGTACAGTACCACTCCTGACCTGGTCTTGAATATCTAAAAAAATACATAATTAAGTGTTTCCATGTTTTAAAACCATAAACCCATGTTTTATTTTATTAATTATAATTATTAAACCTATAAATAAATCTTTATTTATTGTGCGATTTTAACCGGATTTGTTTTAAAGTGTGGATAAACTGTATTTTTTGAGCCAAAAACGCCATATTTTTACAAAATACAAGGCCTACTATGTCAGTTTTTAAGAGTAAATTTTTAAGAATTCATTATAGCGATTTTTTTAAACAAAATCTAAGCACGCCCCCTCACCACCCCTCAAAACGACCCTTTACTAAATTTTATTGAAAAATTTTAAGTAGAAAAATCCAAAATAATAATTACAAAAATTTATTATGTCAAGTTATAAATGAAAAAAAAATTGTTACTATTACTTTAAGTTTAATTTTTGTTTTTTCATGGATAACTTGACAGAATAAATTGTTGTACCTAGTTATTATTGTGCATTTTTCTACTTTAAATTATTCAATAAAATTTAGTAAAGGTCGTTTTAAGGGGTGGTGAATCCAGTGCCGTGCTTAGATTTTGTTTAAAAAATTCGATAATATAAATTCTTAAAAATTTACTCTTAAAAAAGGACCTAGTAGGCCTTGTATTTTGTAAAAATATGGCGATTTTGCTCCAAAACTACAGTTTATCAAGATCTACACTTTAAAACAAATCGGGTTAAAATCGCACAATAAATAAAGATTTTACAGGGGTGAGTCGCAAACAAATGGATCACACTGTATATAAATAAAATCATAAAATGGCCTACCTATATAATAAAAAAGTATATAACAACAAAGGATTTTTAATTAAATAAAAATATAAACCATATTATATTCTAAATAATAGTATTAATAATATATTTCACAATAAAAATTATAATACTTAATGGATATACAGGGTGCACTAAGAATCCTTTTATGTATGAGTATCTTTTTTGTTTAAATACCTACATAGTCGGTTAAATTAGAGAAAAATTGCAATTTTAAGTTTAGTTAAAAGGCGCAAAAAAATACATTAGATAAACTACGGACACTGGTTAGAAATGGATAAAATTAAGTGCGCCAAAACCCTTAGGGAATAAAGGTTTTCCGTCGTAGAAGAAGATATTTTTTTATTTAATTCCCATTTCATTTCTTAACCGGTGGGCAAAATTGTACCTCTCTCACTAGTGGGCGAAATAGCATTTCGCCCACGGACTGAAGTTAACATTAGGTTAAAATTGTAAAAAATTAAGATAAAACATCAAATAAAATTGGCTTTACATTCTTTGTGGTTGTTGAATAAAATATTGTGTGCGACATTGGTACAAGAATTTTAAAAAAATCTTTTTATAATAGGTTAAACTTATTAAACCATACATTTTTTATTTTAATAGCAAAATTATAAAATTTTAGTATTACCTTTGTTTTTAGACATCTAAAAGCAACATTGCTTCTGGTAGTATATATATATTTAAAATTTTGGCGAATGCGCCGGGATATTAATAACTTTTTCCTGGAAACTATTACAATGTATTGCCAAGATTTAATACAATCATTAAATATTAAATGCATATTTTATAGCTTTTTTATGCTTGTTTCAATTACCTATTAGCATAGATCTCGATAGGAAGTAAAATTGAAATCTGATCTACTTTTAAAGCTTCTTATTCTTATTTTTGTAAATAATTTATTTAAAAAAATATAAACTAGAAAAGGATTTAAGACTTAATAATTAATTAAATACCTAAAACGGCTGACTTATGCAGGATTGACATAGTAAATAAATATTTAAATTAATAATAGTTTATTTGTTTACATTAACTAAAACATGTATACAGACAAGTTTAATTATAATAAACAAAAGTAATTACATGCTTATTAAAATAAAAAATTAATTAAAATTGATGTCACCTGAGGTAGTTGCTGCTTTGCTTTGTTTTTTTATTAACCGATAAAAGTAACATGTTTAATTAAGTTTAGAGATAATTTAAATAATAACATTTTAAGTTGTGTTTATAAAATATTGGGTTATGTATTAGTATCTACACCATTATTATTTAAATAAAATGAAATTTCAAAAGTTTTCACTTTTGACATCGTTTAAATAGTTTTTTTCAATAAAAAGGATGTACAATATGTTCCTAGAAAATTATGTTCTAAAATCCAAATGCAATAATTTACAACAGCAAGGCAAACTGTACAGCAAAACAATATTAAAATTATAATTTAACATACTTAAGAGAAATTAACTAGGTACTGGATAATTACTAATTTCAATTAAAATATTGGTATTCAATTTTAAGGATGTTCCCTGTATACAACTATACCTAAATTATTTCTCATTATAATGTTATATTCTCATTTTTAGGACTAAAGAAGATGTGAATCACAGTTTTTATAGTTGCAAAAATGCACTTATTTGCCAAAGTTAGTACATTTTTGCAAGCAATTTAAAAAAAAATCGCCATTTAAAAAAGCAATTTAAAAAAAAACGCCATTAGGATCTAGATGGAATTTTCCCATTATCTACTTTAATTTTTAATATTAAATATTATTTATATTATAGGATTTGTCAAAAATAGCGCACTAAGGCTTTAGTTAAAAAAAACACTTAAAAAATAAAATGTATGGTTAAAAAATACTAAAAAGTGGCTTAAAAAGATATTGAATCCCACTTTCCTTATGCGCCTAAAAAATTTGTTTTACAGTCTAGGATAACAAATATTAAAAAAAAAAAATGTCGCTCTTCAAAAAAAGTCAAAATTTAAGTTAAAAGTTAAGAAAAAACAGTGAAAAAAATGTTGGTTTTTATATTATTTTTTTTAAACTACATTTCAAAACGAAGAAAATAGCCACCGGTCAAATAAGGTTACGATAATTTAAGCAGGAGTTATGAATTTCTGAAAATTACCGTATCGTTATTTTATTCATATCTTCGGGGCTTTTGAAAAGTAAGGGCTCAAAATTTAAGGTTATGCGTCTTTTGATACGTACAAAAACATATCAAAAATTTAATTGAATCAAAAAATACAAATTTATATTTCTTTTTTATTAACATTATTTTTTAAGGATCTATCCAAAAAAGTTTTACTGCAGAAGCCTAAAGTTAAAAAGACCCATTTTGCATTTATAAAGATTAAATTGATTGATAATTGATACTTATGTCGCGACAAAATGGCATTTCATAAAATTAATGCATTATTGATTTTATGAAATGCCATTTTTATGTATTTCGGCCATTTCAAGCGGATGGACGGGACAAATCCCAAAATTGTTTTTATAAAAAAAATTGTAGGTAATTTATTATATATTATATTTGCATCAAAATTGTCAAATATATTCTTCTATTATTAGGCTATACATTAAATAAAAAAAATCGCAAGAAATATTTTATAAAAGTGGAGATAATTTCAATAAATAACAGGGGTGGACGGGACAAGATAAATATTTTTTTTGTCCCGTCCACACCTTTCAATTATTAAAATTATATCTACTTTCATAAAATATTTCTTGCGTTTTTTTTTATTTAATGTATAACCTTATAAAAGAAGAATATTTTTGACAATTTTGATGCCAAAATATTATATAATAAATAATCTACAATTTTTTTTATAAAAACAGTTTTGTAATTCGTGCGTTTCGCGCGCTTGAAATGGCCGATTTCCACTTTTTTTTTCTAATGATTTCGACTTTAAGATAACATTGTTTTTGCTTTTTTTGCAAGTAGTAGGTATATTTATAATAAAATATAATCAAAGATAACTAATAATCAATAAGCCGTGTGCCAGTTTGCGTCCCTACTCTTGGTTCGAGTGACACCAATATAGGTAGGAAACAAAACAAACATACGCCATTAAATAATAACAATTACATAATAGTTGCACAACGAAGGCGGCTTGAGCATGCAGTGTGCCACTTTTAAGCCCATACTCTCACTACTTCATTATACAACATCTTTAAATGCGACTTTTACTTTTAATACTCGTGAACCAGTATCGCCCAAGTCCTCAATTCGCGTAAAACGTCATTTTTGAAGACCCCAATGGGCGCAAACGACGAACCCTTAGTTACAATAACGACCTATAACACCTAAGCAAAATGTACAGTGTGTAGTGAAAATGTTTTGGTTCGCGTTTATGTCGAGCGTTCAAAATTTGGGCACCAGGGGCGACTACCCACCCGGCACGTCCTATAGGCACAGCACCACGCACATGGATATTTTTATGGCTCTATTTATGATGTGTGCTTTAGAAGTAGTCGTCATCAAAATCTTAACTTTTGAAGAATCACAGGAAGAACAAAGAAGTACATCGACGAGTGTTTTTTATGACAGATAAAATTTGTTTCAGTTCAAACTTCTCCCTAAATTTTTTGTAGATAAAAGTGATTTGTGCTGTGTTTATTCTTATTTTTACATTGTCTATAAATATAATAGGATTATAAGTCTCAAAAACTAAAAAAATATGGTATAAAATGGAGAAGTCTCGTTTTAAAATTATTTTATGTTTAAGAATTAACTATATTTTTTTGGAAATGCTAAGGAATGCACAAAACACTGGTCCTTTCACCAAACAATGCGAGATAAGCAATTTCGTAATTTAACAATAACTATTTTAAAAGTGTATAAAGACAAAAATATTTTGTAAAATGTCTTGTAAACTTAATAAAATGTAATATCTCCTATTCAATTTGTTTTATTAATTTTTAAAGCATTTTACAATTTTAAAAGTTACGTTCAACATTAATAACAAATTTAGATATTTCAAAATTATTATAATACCATAATGGGTGCAGCCCACGAACCCTTAGCTACAATAATAACATATAACACCTAAGCCAGTGCAGTGCAAGTGTAGTGAAAATGTTTAGTGCAGGATATGTGCTTTGCAGGTAGTCGTAATTAAAATTTTGAAGAATATCAAGAAGAGCAAAGTAGTAAGTCGACGAGTGTTTGGTTCGATAGATAAAACTTAATTTTGTTAAAATGTTTTTTTTAATTTAGTTACA